TATAAGGATCAAAACAGGGGTGGGAAGAGCACAAGGGACTATGGTGATGGAACACAGGTGAATTGGTCGTGGGAATTTGATGGGGACTACACCTGAGAGGAGAAAGCATTCATTGTACAAGAATGTTGTAAAATATATATATATATATATATATATATATATACAGTAAAAAAATTTTAAAAATGTGTAAGAAAATGCAAAAGACCTAGAGTCATTGAATCAATTCTGAAAAGGACAAACTTGGAGAACTCTCAACACTTCATTTCAAGGCTCATTGTAAAGCTACTCACGCTTATGTGACATTGGTATATGGATGGACCGATAGATTAGCAGGGCAGCATGGAGAATCCTGAAATAAACCCACACACATGATCAATTTATTTTTGGGTAATATTGCCAAGGCAATTCAAGGAAAAGTTTTCAATAAATGGTGCTGGATCAACTAAAGAGAAGTTAACCTTGATCTTTATCTAATACTACACACAAAAATAATATGAGATATACATCTACATAGAAATTCTAAAATGACAAAATTGGTAGAAGAAAGGAGAATGTCCTTTTGAGTTTAGGATAGGCAGAGGTTTCTTAGAGAGAATGAAAAAAAAAAACCCTAAACATGTATAAATATTGGTATTCATCACAAAAACTGTTCATAAAAAGACATCACCAACAAAATAAAAAGGCAATCCACAAATTGGGAAAAAAAGTATCTATAATGCATAGATCTGACAAAAATGTATGTCCAGAAGCAAAAAATTTGTAGCCAGAATATATAAAGACTTATAGTTCAATGATAGACAAACAGCCCAATTTTAAAAAATGGGCAAAGGAAATTAATAATTTCTATATAAAGTACACAAATAACAATAAGCATATAAAATTGTGCTCAGCATCTTTAGTCACCCAAGGAATGCATATTTAAATCACAATAAAATGCCGTTACACTCCCTTCATAAGCTAAAAATAGAAAAGACTGACAACATTGATGAGGATGTGGAGGAACTAGAACTCCCATGTTGTAGGTAGGTATGCAATATGGTACAACTATTTTTTTCTTAAAGATTTATTTATTTATGCATACAAGAACTGCAGTACAGGCAAGAGGTGTGGGGGGTGAGAGGATTCACCAGAGACAGAGTGGTGAACAGAACAGGCATATTAACTGGAATACACTGCTGAGGGGAGCAGCGGGCGAGACAGGAGATGTCTGCTACACCATGTGGGTATCTCCCTGGCCGGGGATTGAACTCGTGCTGCAGGGGCTGGTGGTTGCTTCATGGGTTGCGCCTTAACCCCTCGCGCCACCAGGGAGGCCCAGTACAACCATTTTGAAGAACTGTTTGGCAGTTACAGTTATTTACAATATTAAATTATACCCTTTAACCAGAAGTTGCATTCCTGAGCATTAACTAAAGAGCAATGTCTACAAAAGGATTAGTACATGGCTGTTTATGTCAGTTTGATATCAGTTTGGGGGTTTGTTATAAATGACCCCAAACTGGAAACAACCCAAATGTTCATCAATAAGAGACTGGAAAAATTATGGAATATTCATAGATGGGAAACTATTTGGTCATTAAGTAGAATGAACTACTGATATGAAAAACAGTGTTGAGCCCTTATTTGCATGAAAGAAGGCAAGTGTAAGTCATGTAAGTTTCAGAATAGCAAATCTAATGGCTGCTGATATAAAGGGAGTGGGGATTCTGGAAAGGAACATGAGGGTATTTCTGGGGCCTAGGACAGGGAAGGGAACATTTTATAATCTTGATTGGGGTGATGGTTACCCAGATAGTAGTTGACCAGAATTCATGCACTTAAGTTCTGTGTATTTCACTGCATATACATTTTACCATAATGATAAAAATGATCACAGTGCCTGATGTTCAGAACAGAGTAGAAGCAGGGGACCAACTAGGAGGTTGTTACAAGATGGTGGTGGGAGAGATAAGAAGTGGCTGGACTTGGGATCTCTTTTGGAGAAGGTGTGAATCAGGAATATTGAGCAAAAACTTGCTTAGTTGCTTAGAACAGGCCCTAGATGCTTGAATCCTTGAAACCATTCATTCATTTTATTGGTGTGTTTTACTCTGACCCCTGCTCTTTCTAAAATAATTTGAGGTTGATTATAAGAAAGGACATGTATTCAGTAAGACTAAGAAGACATAACAAAAATAGAAAATTGAAACCAAAAGATAGAGAAGCAAATATGTCAGATTGGGGACTGATATTAGAAAATTAAGATCAGGGACCTCCTTCCGCCCAGTACCCTTGGCTGGAGCTGCTGATGGGTTGCAGAGGTTCTTTAATATAATCAGAGGAAAGAAAGCTCTGATTAAAGATACCCATCAGTGCTGAATTAAGTTGACTTTACTTGAAGAATATTTGCCTTTTAGAGACTCTCTTGGCTTATAAAAAACCAAAAGTACACAATTTTTTTTCAGAATTTAATTTGAAATAAGATACTACTACATCACAAAGGTTTGCTACATCTAGTGCTCTACAAAGAAATGACTTTTAGAGAAAACTGTCTTCCTTCTGTGTGAGACTGGTTTTATTAAGCAGAAATGCAAACAGCATGGGGTATATAATTTAGGATAAAATATGTTTGAGTATATTAGATACACACTTATGGAATCATAAGTAATTTAAAATTACTGCAAACTAACTTACTGATAGAAGGATTGAATCAAGTTAAATGAAGGCAGTTACTGATACAGTAGAAATACTGCAAAAATGTAGGCAGAAAACCACATGATTATTGAGTAATCTTTTTTAGTATAGATAATTCAGTTAGTGTTGAATTGAATGAGAGGGGAATCTTTTCATTTTTGACGTTCTTTAATTAAAAACAACTGATTAGGGCCTCCCCGGTGGCGCAGCGGTAGAGCGCTGGGTTGCGAAGCTGCCCGTGGCCTCTGCGGTGCCGGTTCAATCCCCGGCTGCTCCCCGGCCACCAGAGGAGGGTCCCACATGGCGCGCAGACCTCTCCTGCCGCCCGCTGCTCCCCTCAGCAGTGTACTTCGGTCCTTCTGCCTGCTCTGCTCCCCGCTCTGGCTCTGGTGAATTCTCTCACCCTCCCGGGCTTCTGACTGTACCCAGTGCATGTATAAACCAAAACAAACAAGCAAACAAATAAATAAAGAAAAACATGCCTCTATTAAAAAAAAAAAAAATCTTTAAAAAAAAAAATAAATAAAAACAACTGATTAGAAATGAGAGAATTAGAAGCATTGAAGAGAACTTATGTGTGATGTTAAAAATATATGTTAGGGCCTCCCTGGTGGCGCAGCGGTTGAGCGCTGGGTTGTGAAGCTGCCCGCGGCCTCTGCAGCGCCGGTTCGATCCCCGGCTGCTCCCCGGCCACCAGAGGAGGGTCCCACATGGCGCGCAGACCTCTCCTGCCGCCCGCTGCTCCCCTCAGCAGTGTACTTCGGTCCTTCTGCCTGCTCTGCTCCCCGCTCTGGCTCTGGTGAATTCTCTCACCCTCCCGTGCTTCTGACTGTACACAGTGCTTGTATAAATAAATAAATAAAAACAAATCTTTAAAAAAAAAAAAAATATATGTTAGAAAGGCAGTTAATCAAATTAAGTGTAGTTTTAGTTTTGACTTCTTGACCATTCCAAATAATTGCTTAAATGAACATCAAAGGATTTCTGGTAAACTCCTATTGGCATTCCCCCAATGAATCTAATAATAAAGACCTCCATCTTATAGAGATGGTGGAGGCAGGAGGGGGGGGTGGAAGGGTGGGGGTGGGGGGCTGGGGGGGGAAAGAAAAATAATTGTTATAGACAATTTATTATGTTCCAGAATGGCTAACTTAGCAGTTGATTCTTCAGCAAATGTGATTGCAATTTTGCAATTAATTTCAAACTGATACATAAAAAAAGCTGTAGTTGGATACCATTAGTGACAAAGTCATACTCCTGCATCAACAGAATAAATGGAGAGAATGAAATATGAATAAAACCATGAACAGATGTCCATAAGGGGACTCTGAGCACCTGGTTTCTAGTCCTAGCTCTGCCTTGTTACTAGGCAGTCCCTGGTTAGACAAGCCATTTGCCCTCCCTAAGCATAACTTCCATCTGTTACATGGGGTCAGTGCTTCCTGTCCTGTTTAGTTTGTCATGGAGGTCGTTGTGAGGGTCTGTGGGACAGAGGGCATGCGGGCCCTCTGAAAGAGTCCACAAATATATGCTACAGTTGTTTTTCATTATTTGTTGGTAACCAACTCTGCAGCGTGCACTGAAGCCTGAACCACGCAATGGTTTATGCTCCAGCCTGGAGATATTTTAGGAAATAATCAATACAAGATGCATTGGGTTGGAGCCACGATAAAAGTCATAAATCTTGACAGCCTGCTGTTTGATAAAATTAATAATGCTTGAGAGAAACATTGTAAAACCCGATGGGAGGGGAAAACATAAAGTATGTTTGGGGAGAGAACTTAAGCCAAACTGAAAGTCATCAAGGAAGGCTGGTTATCTCCTGCTGCTGGTGGGGCAAGATGCACATGTACACATACGTTCAGGTGCATAGTGCACACACTTCTCATGTATATACTCATGTACACATGGGCAGTGAGCACCAGCTTGTTGACCCAGTCTCAGAAGAGATGGCGATTAAGGAAGACTAATATTAATTCCAGCAATGGATAATTGCAATGTATACACTTAGGGGCCTTTCACATCTAAGGAAATGCTGGCTACCTGTGAATTTTAACAATAAATCATGATGGTGTTTTCACTTAGTCTCCTTTCTCTCTATTGTGTTAGAAACCTAAATACTCTATAGGTGGAAAGGTTGCAAACTTTTCCTTTGTAGGGAAACGCATGTCATTTAAATGCATCATTTAAATTTCTGCACTTAAAAATTGCTTTTATTTTGTTGAAAGTTTTTCATTTCAAAATAACAAGTTTATTATGAAAAACGTTAATTTAAAAGGTCAGAAAACCATAAGGAAACATTGATATTGGGTCTGTTGTATTTTCAGGCAGAGAAAACCGAGAATTTTGTTAGTCGAAGCCTTGTGATAGGAGAAGTGCTCTCCATAGCCGACATGGCCACAGGAGTCAAGGTGAGAGTCACGGGCACCCCACCCTCCAGGAACTGGTACTTTTGAACAGTCAGGAGTGAGAAATAACCCGCAGGAATCAACTCATTGGATTAGGTGTTTGTGACACACTTAGAATCCACTCCCCAACATCCTCTTTGACCATTATATTCAATTCTGTTTGTTTTTCTTTACTTTTCTTTTTATATAGTTATATGTTTATATTTTATATAAAAATATATATTTTGTGTGTCAAATATTTTCATCTGCTTTTATTTTATAAGAACTATTTGTGATTTACTTTTTCACTTAAATATTATTGCTAAGATTGATCCATATCCTTGCATGCCACCATGTTCATTCATTTGAAATTAAAATAACTATTTACTTTGAAATAGCAATTTGCACAAGGAAGTACAAAAATAGTATATAGAGTCATGTGCACATTTCCCCCAGTTTCCTTCAGTGCTGACAACTTATATCACTGTAGTGTAACACAGAACCAGGAAATCGATATTAGTATAGTACAGTTAAGTAGACTGTGGACCCTCTTCATATTTTACGAGTTTTTACATGCAATCAATCGTATGTGTGTGTTTCCATGTAGTTTGGTCCCAAATATAGATTCAAACAACCACCACTGTAATCAAGATACTAAACTGATACTTCATCAACACACAGAAACTTATGGTACTACCCATTTACAGTTGCATCTCCGTTCTTTGGCAACCACTAAACTATTCTTTATAGTTTTGCCATTTTGGGAGTGGCAAATTCATTCATTTTTATTATAGCATAGCATTTCCTTGTGTGACTATGCCACAGTAGTTGTAAATCTTTGACTTTTGCCAGATCAAATGGGTATTAGTGGCATTGCATTGTAGGCTTGCTTTGCAAATACCAGTGCACATACTTGCTGCACTCACCAAGGGTGGTGAACAGAATAGTTTGGGAAGGGAGACATGACTGCTGGGGCCTTTTTGGTGCCCTTAGTGTCCTAGCAGAGAGTCATCTGTGTGGCTCTACCTGTTCCTTCCTTTCCGTTCCTGGCCATTACTGGGCCTTAAAATAATTCCCTATATCCAGTCCTGATGTGCTTAAGGAGGAGAAATTATAATTAGAACATGAAGAGAAAATGGTCAGACAGGCAGCCAGGTCAATTATTGGTGAGTGAAAGATGACAGCTATTTCTGCCTTACAGTGTAGCATCAAAAAATGGGTAAGGATTAAAAACAAATCTGTGAGTGCCATCCCATGGAGAGAATGCCCACTATTAGATCCTTTGGGGGAGATTGGCTTCTCTGTGATTTCTTCAGCCTGGTTGGGTTGGCTGTGGCTTCTAGAGGGAAGTTAGCTGAGATGCAACAAATAGGCTCCCCTCCCCCTCAGAAATACTAGAGGATCCTGGTCTAGGGTCCTTGTCCTCAGTTTGTGCTTTTACCTTGTTGTTCAGCCCCGACCTTCTCTTCAGCAAGCTTCTAGTGGGGTGTGACCTTGGGGAGGTCTCTACAAGGTGTTCCAGATTTTTGGGTGGGGATCCTTCACTACATCTCCAGGAATGCAGAGCCTAGTCATGGAGATGCACAGGGAATGTTTGAATGAATGAAGGCTGGTTAGTCTGTGGTTTAAAGAAGACAAACATTTTGACCAGTTGCAATGTGTGGACCTTATTTAGATTCTGCTTCCAACAACAAGCTATAAAGAAAAGTTATGTCAGTTGGGGAAATTTAAACATTGGCTATTTAGTTATATTAAATTGTTATCATTACATTTTTAGGTGGGATAATAGTTTCAGGGTTTGTTTTTAAAAGTCTTTATCTTTTATAGATGCATAGGAAGTATTTAGGGATGAAAGGACAGAATGTCGGATAAGCTCATGGTTTAGGATCACCTTGGTTAGCTAGGATGGTGGGTGTAGAGTGGGAAGAAGATTGGGGGAAAGATGAAATAAAATGGACTGCAAGCTGGTCATTGCTGAGTTCATTATATTATTCTATTTTGTTTGAAGATTTCCATAGTGAACAGCTTTTTAAAAACTTCTATTCCTGAGTATCCAAAAAGACATTGGAGCTGATTTTTGAAAATGCTTCTCTGATCACATCACTCCTCCACTTACAACCCCTTCTCATGAAGCTTCCCATGAACCTTCTGGTCTTTGACATGACCCCAGGTTCTGGTGTGGTTCTGGCCTTGTGAACCTTTCTAGAAGCCTTCTGTATACTTTGTCCCCTCTCTGGGTGACCTATCTGCCACACTGGCCCTCTGTAGCTTTTTCTTATTCACCTTGGAACTGCTCTTTCTTCCTTCACCTGACTGACACCTGTACATTCTTTAATTCCCAGCTCAAGCATCCTCCCTCAGGAAAACTTCTGTCAAACCTGCAGTCTAGGGCCTCCCCGGTGGCGCAGCGGTTGAGCGCTGGGTTGCGAAGCTGCCCGCAGCCTCTGCAGCACCGGTTCGATCCCCGGCTGCTCCCCGGCCACCGGAGGAGGGTCCCACATGGCGCGCAGACCTCTCCTGCCGCCCGCTGCTCCCCTCAGCAGTGTACTTCGGTCCTTCTGCCTGCTCTGCTCCCCGCTCTGGCTCTGGTGAATTCTCTCACCCTCCTGCGCTTCTGACTGTACCCAGTGCATGTATAAACAAAAACAAACAAACAAATAAATAAATAAATGAATAAAATACGTGCCTCTTAAAAAAAAAAAAAAACCAAAAAAAAAAAAACCTGCAGTCTAAGTCCCATCTGTGTGTTGTCGTCTGTCTATACCTTTCAGTTTGCTGCCATAGCATGTGTTCATTTGGGATTTGCCCGTTTATTTCCCCCATTTGTGTGTCTTATATATGTCTCTTAGCACCACTAGAGGGCAAACTTCTTCGAGATTATCACTTTATATTCTTGGTACAAAGTGGATGTCAATACATGAGTACATAGACTCAAATGAATACATAGACTCAAAACAGTATGGTAGTTACTCAGAAGGTAAAAGAGTAGAATTACCGTATGACTCAGCGGTTCCCTCCTAGGAATATACTCCAAAAAATTGAAAACAGAAACTCAGAGACTTGAATATCAGTGCTTATTGCAGCATTATTCACAAAAGCTAAAAGGTGGAAGCAAACCAAATATCCATCAACAGATGCACGGATAAACAAAAGATGGCATATACATTCGATGGGGTATTATTTGGCCTTAAAAAGGAATGAAGTTCTAACAAGTGCTACAGCACAGATGTCAGACACTAAAGGACAAATTTTGTCTGATTCCACTTCTATGAAATTTCTAGAATAGACAAATTTATAGAGAATGAATGCAGATTAGCAATTCCCCGAGGCTGGGGGAGTTTTGGGTATGGGAAGTTAATGCTGAATGGGCACAGAGTATCTCTTTGGGGTGATGAAAAAGTTTTGGAAGTAGTGGTGATGGTTGCACAACATTTGAATGTAATAAAAACCTCTGAATTGTATACTTATAAAAGGCTAACATGGCAAACCTTATGTTTGATATCTTATCACAAATTAAAAAGATTTAAAAATTTGACCAAAGTGAATGCTAACCCTGTTTCTTTCCTACTCATCAGTCATTTCAGAGGATTTTTTTCCCCTTGAACTTAGGCAGCCCAGGAGGTTAGAGAGCTGTATGTAGATCATGCCACTGAGTCCAGCCCAGGAGCCATGGATGTTGTTTGTGTTGATAGAGAGAGAGGTCCAGGCAGGGTCTGTGGTGTGTTGGGAGCAGTTCCTGTGAGCTCTGGGCTGGCTAGGATGTCCTCAGCTCTCACTGGCAGGCCGAGAGTGACTGGTGACCACTGATAGTTTTCCTTGATGTGTTCATAGTGTTGGCTGCCCCTACAGAGGGGGCATTGGCATCATCCATCACGGTTGCCTGTGCCACACAGGGTTGAGCCCCTTTTCTCTCTCCCTCCAGGTCTTTGTTATCAGAGGCTCTGGGCGTCCCTGAGAGCTTTGAACAAACACACTTGTACTCACACAGCCAAGAGCTGGCAAGGCCATGGGCTGCCTCTGAAAGCGATTCATGGCCAGGGGGGTAGGAAAGAGAGAGGTGCCAGGGAAGGAGAAGGCTTTGGATCCCCACTTGAGCTTGGGAGCCGGCCCAAGGTCTTCTGCCAGATGTGCTGATGCAACCTGGAAGGACTCTAAGGCTGCAAGAAAAGTGACATGCTTCCTTTTTTTCTTCCCCACAACTCCTTTTTCCTCATTTGAATCATCTTACTCTTTGCTTTGCTTGAGCTGCTGTGATAAATGACCATGGGTCAGGTGGCTTAAACAACATAAGTGAATTTCTTAGTTTGGGAGGCTGGGAAGTCTAAGAGCAAGCTGATTCAGTTTCTGGTGAGGGGCCTCTTCCCTGTTTACAGATGGCTGCCTTCTTACTGTGAGAAGTGAGATGTGTCTCCCTCATGGGGGTTATGGGGTGGAGAGAGGAGTAAGATGGGAGGCAGACACACACACACACACAGAGAAAGAGAGAGAGAGAGAGAGACACGAGAGAGGAAGAGGGAGAGAGAGAGAAAGAGAGGCGAGCTTACACATGCATGTGTGCACAAACTAGTTGGTATCTCTTGTAAGGGCACTAATCCTTCTGTGGGGGCTCATGACTTCACCCTCATGACATTTCATCTGAGTGTAATTAATTCCCAAAGCCCCATATCCTAATGCCATCACACTGGGCATTGATTAAGGCTTTGGCATATGATTTGGGGGGCGGATACAAATCAGTCCATAGCATTCTCTTTTCTGAGGTCACCATTTGTTTAAAAAAAAAAACTCTTCCAGTGCCTTAGTGAACCCCATTTACTCTTGGAAGGAAAAGACCCCAAGACCACTTGAAGCCTCTCTAGGAGAACCCTGCTGGACATTGTGGAGGAGGGGCCTGGCCTCTCATGGATGCGGTGCTCGCAGCTTCCTGCATGCATAACAGAGCTTGCGGGTCTATTGCGGCAGGGAGACAGTCAGAATAATGTGGGTTCTCTCAGTGTGGCTACTCAGTCCCAATTCTGGCACATTCTTTCCCTCACCTATACCCTAGTTTTCACTTTTGTGAAGGTGGCACTGCTAATACTCCCTCATGGGCTGTGTTCAGATGGAGACTGATGATGCCTATAAGGGGCTCCATGCTGTGCCTCGCATGTGGATGGGCTGTACCCCTGAGACATGGCCCAAGCCCTTCCCAGTCTTCTGGGTAGTGGACTAAGTCGAATCAACCTGTGTTTCCAGCTCTAGTCACCAACTTTCCTTGCTGCTGTGGGATGTTGCTCCTTCTAGTCATCATTTAAAATTCAGAGACCTGACCCAAGGCCCCTTCAATCTGTCTGACCTCAGTTCCCTGCTGCTGCAGACTCTTAGTGGGCATGTGTGGTCATGCTCCTGAGGGTGCAGCTGATATTTTTTCCCACTGGATACTTGAAATAGGAGAGAGGGATCTTTCCCAAACAAAAGTACAAGAGTTTTTGTTAGGTGTTTCTCCACTATCCCCTTAAATTTGCTTGCCACTGCTTTTCTCAGTCTCTCCCAGAGCAAACATCTGTCTTTGTCCTGTTCCCTTAGGTGGCCTGGGGACGAGGGTGCTCACAGGGCAGCGATGTCAGTAGAGGACACTGCCCTTGCAGGAGGACACTTTGCACTGTTCCCTTCTGATGACTGATGCTCTTCTTTATTGAGTCTCAGCGTCCCATCTTAGTGAGTTCATCCCTTCCTCCCGGTTCTTCCATCAAGCTTCCCCACTGTAGTTAATGGGCTCCATTCATCCAGAGACTCTGTCATAGCCCCTTGGGTCACCTGCAGTCTTTTCTTGCTCTCTTCTCCAAATCCAACCTATCAGCTATCTCCAGGATCTGCCGCAAGTCCCTCTACTTCTCATCTCCTTAACCACTACATTCTGGGCTGCCGCCACCACAGGGACCAGGGCCTGCTTGCCCCCTCCCTGGAGTGGGGCCCATTCTCCTCGCAAGAAGCACGTGTTGAAAGCATCCATCAGATCAGGGGTCTCCTGATTGGAACCCCCAGGTGCTCCCATTCATTATCCTCATTTGGTCAGGTTTCAGAGAATGTGACGTTGGCAATACATTGGCTAGCACTTGGAGGGAGATCCCCATATTTTAATGAACTGTGTGGACTGGGGCCACAAGGCCCTGCCTGTGTTAAACTGCTACAGTTTTATGCAAACCTATAGATTTCACTCACTTAGCCCAATGTGCCAACTAATAGCATTTAGTGAATGGAGGCCTTTAAACCGTGGATGGAACACTCTTTAATTTTTTCTTTCTTTTAAAGAGGAGGAAATATTTTAAAACCTATAAAAGGAAGATACTGTAAAGAAAACAATATCTGCTGACTAAACAGATTTAGGGATGGCAAATTCAACCTGCTTTAGGTTTTAGAAAAATATTCTTTAACTAGATTTCCAAGGTGGTTTATGGGAAAAATGACCATTTGCATTGATTCCTTTTTCCTGTGTCAGAATTAATAATGCAATTTGCAGTGTCTGAGAGGATTCTGCAGAGAAGGGGTTGAGTAATCAGGGCAGTAAGCTTCTTCTGAGGATATTTTATGATTCTTCAAATAAAAAGCATTTCCTGTGGCAGATGTCATCCGTGAAATTCATCTGTTGTGATGTCAGAATGTTTCATTCGGTCAGAGCTGTGGGTGTTGAGGAAGTGCCCTCTCAGGCTGCCAGTGTCACATGGGCGCATGTGACCCTGCTGTTTGCGCCACTTCCCTGCACTGTGGGTGCAGGATCCATGAGGGCTTATTCAATTGTAGTGATCTCAAAAATAAAAAACCTCTTTGAATTTGCCTAAGCAAAAATTATACCTACTTCTTGCCGTAATTGAAGCATCCAGGTGCAGCAGGTTTCAGGTGTGGGTGTGTGGGATCTGGTCTTTCTCATCTCTAGGCTCTGTCTGGATCCCGCATGTTGGCCTCATTCCGCAGGTCTTGTGATGGCAGGAGCAGTCAGCAGCCCCAGGCCTCCATTCCTCCATGATCTGTCACTTCAAGAGGGAGTTTCTCTTCCTCAGTAGCCCATCCATCAGCCTGGTGGCTGCTGGTCTGATTGGGCCTGCCCAGATCACAGTCCACCCTGAAGGATCCCTGTAGACATGATGTTGTACAGGTCAGCCACTCCTGGGTCTCAGTCTCCTCCTAAAGCTGGAGGTGGAGGCCAGCATCAGCCACCCATCACTGGGACTGATTTTGGGGGAAGGAGGTCTCTCCAGAGGAAAACTGGAACCATGTGGCTGTTTGGGGTGGGGAAGGGGCATTGACCTGCAGACAGAAAATGTCTGTATGCTTGAGCCTTCTGTCTTTGCAGTCAGTCCCCCGCTTCCTTCTAATGGCTCTGCCAGAACCACCTTTCCTGCTCCTCCTCCTTCCTGTCTTTTTCCTCTTCACCCTTCACCTCCTCCTGCTCATCAGCAACACTTTCCCAGGGTTTGCAGAGCAGACATAGTGCTTGTCCTGCACGGAATCCTTACTTCAACCTTGTGAAGTACTATTAGACATCAGGCACCTTAGGTTTGAACCCCAACACTGCCCACTCTCTCAGAGTGCAGTCATAGGCAGGCTGCTTTCTATCTGAACTCAGTGTCCTTGTCTGTCACATGGGGGTGAGGACACTTTCTTCTCCAGGTGCTTGTGAGCACCAGTGAGCACGTATGCAAGGAGCACTGCCTGGCAGGGTGAGTGCAGAGTGAGTGGGGGTGTTTTTTACTCAAGTGACTCATTTGTCCAAGTCCCCGCTGCCAGTGGGTCGCTGAGGAGGGATTTGCACCCAGTGGTCTCATCCCATGCTGAAGGACTGCTTGTTTTGTAGCATCACCTCTCCCTTAGCCTTCTGTTTACTGACTGTGTCTCATGGCAGGACTCATGTGCGCTGTTTGTGTGGGTGCCTGGGCTCAGGACACCTACACTTTGTTGTATGCTCCACATACCAGGCCTTCAGCCAGACCCTCAGCAGATAAGGTGAAATGGATATCCAGAACAGCCATTACATGGCGTGATCTGGGCCTTCCTGAGGATGGAGGCCTGATTCTGTGTTGCTGGAATGGCTTCTCCAAGAGTATGAACCATGAGCCATGTCTGCAGAGGGGAACTGGAATGTGGCAGGCAGCGAAGGGGAAGGGCATGAAGCCTTGCCACTGGTGGGGCTTAGGTAAAACCTGGTGAGCAGAACAGATGCTCCTGAACGGAGTTTGACAAGTAGGTTGAGTTGTCACCGAGTTGTGTCTACTGCTGACAGTGCTCTCTGTCGTCCTTGTTTCCAGTGTGGGATCATTTATTGGCTGTTCGGTGGTGCAGTCAGCAATCTCGGAAGCCCAGGACATGTAACTAAGTGGCTTCAGCCACTCCAGGTATGGCGTGTACATCAATAGATGTCTTCTATGCACAGTCCTAAAAAAATTAGAGTAGCTGGGGGTGGGTGTGTGTGCGTCTGTTGAGAATGAAAATAAATCAGAGAATTTATGGCAGGAAATTCTTAATTAAAATGAGAATTTCAAGACTATCTTTTTTGTAAGGCATTGTATCTGTCATGTTGTTATCATGTTAGCTGTCACCAGCTGAATTTTTATCATTATCTCCAACTCCCCTCTCACTCTATTACCAACTTCCTTAATGATCTCTAGTTAGAGCAACCATCTGGCTAGCTAATTCTCTTTTAACATCTGGTAAATTCCAGGAGCAGAAATACACTGGGATGTTTGCAATGACAGAAAGAGGCCATGGGAGCAACGTGAGAGGGATCCAGACGGAGGCCACCTTTGATCTTTCTGCACAGGTAAGGATTCTTTCCATCCTTCTGTGGTTCAGGACTCTGACAGAACTAGACTCTCCTCTTCAAGTCCAACTTCATACCCTCTAAATCAGAAGTGCTTAGAATCAGAAGAAATATCTAAGTATTTGAGTGGAGGTGGATGGATGCTCGGCCTTCACGAGTCTTATGCCAGCCAACACTGCACCACAATTACATGACCACCAGAACTCTAGTTTCACAAATAAGTCTTACTTTTACTACCTTTACTATATATGAAGAACTCCAATAGTTTCCCTTCCATTCTCATTAATTAAAAAAATGTTAGTGGAGATTCTAGAACTGATCTCACAGTCCACTAGTGGGTCACAGCCTGCAGTAGGAGTCCCATCTCTTTGGCTCCTACTCCCCTCTAAATGTTTCTCTCTGCTGATGATCTCTTGTTTACTGTTCAGTAGTCCTAAATAAATAAAATTTGAAGTTCTATCTTGAAAGCTATTTTTAAACATATTTATGCAAGTGTGTGTTTTGAAGGCCCAGATCACCCCATGAAATGGCTGTTCTGGATGTTCCACCCTATCTGCTGAGGGTCTGGCTGAAGGCCTGGTATGTGGAGCAAACAAAGTGTAGGTGTCTTGTGTGTGTGTATGTGCGGTCATTCATTTTATTCTTCATTTTTGCTGAATTTTTCCTTTAGAATCTGGCTTTTTATTAGCAGGTTTTCCTGCTAGTTGGAGGTGGTCAGTGTCTAGAAGACAGGTTCAGGCGAGGGTTATATTGGTTGGGGTCTTACATCTCCTCCGGCCCTTGTGATAGTTCATTAGTAGTCAGTGATGTCTAAGGTCTTGGTAAGAACAAGAATAAGGACTACCACTTATTGAGTGCTTGCTATGTGGCAGGCTCCATGTTGGTCCCTCTGTGTAACAGCATATGTTTCATTACAAAAGCAACCCATAAGCACGAGAGCATATGACTACTGTTAACTGAGCACTTATACTGGGCACCTCGGTATGTAACGTTGTTGGGAGTCTGAGGCTCTCAAAGGTTAGAAACCTCTGACTATGCAATTAATGAGTCTTAGATTCAAGTGTGCGTGCCCTGAACAGCTTAGCTTTACTCAGTGATGGATGCTGACTGGCCATCTTTTGGGTCTTGACTGGCCAATTTTTCTCTTCCTAAGCTATGATATGGAGGTCACCTTGCTGTCTTTAAAGGAAAGAAAAAGAAACATCACCCACAATTCTTATTTATTTGTTTCTCCTCATAATTATTTCCTCCCACAAAAAATCATTTCCCTGTTTTGGTCCCATTTTCCCCAAACACCATAAATGATTTAGCTTCTTGGTATGCCTCAGCAGCTGCCACTTTCTGCAGGGGAGTTGCAAAGTTGAAGTCATAATGATGAGGAGACTCTGGTGAACACTCTGCCTCCTGTGGGGGTGAGAGGGAGAAGGAGCTCGTCGCAAGCTTGGCCACCTAGGACTGACATAGCAGGAGATGGATTTCTCCTTCATTGGTTTCTGTGTTTTCCCCTTCATTTCCCTTTTAAAATGTTGAGCATATCAAATGAGCCCTCTCTCCCTCAAGGACTGTTTTAATCGCTTGCATTTTTTAGTTATTCATTCCTGTGGGTTAGTTGTTTTATTTAATTTTTGGAGGGTGGCTTTGGTAGTGGTGTGTAGAGTGAGAGGTAAGAGAGAGTTCTATTTTCACACTATGTTAAATAGCAAAAATAAACGAGGCTAAGAGCTCGCTGGCCAAAGCCATCTTTTCTGAGTGCTTACAGCCCTGACCGTTTTGCTGGCCTTCAACAAATAATTATAATAGGAACCGACACACATGGTGTGCATTATTTAGATCCAGCTTTAATGCCAGCATTTTGGCTGATGCAAACTTTCCAAATCAAGTGTTTTTGCCAGAAGTGACAAGCCTCCTTTCCCAGAGTGTATCAGATGTTTACAGAGACGAGGGCCTCCTGTCTCTTCCCCACCCTACCAGATCTTCGCTGCCAGACCACTGTTTCTCTGTTACTTCCCTTCCTTCCCTTGAGGTATAAGCATCCCCTAGCCACACGGGATGTTTTGTTGTTGTTGTTGTTTTCCTACTGCACCTTAGCCTCAAATAACTCCTTTCTTTGAGAAGTTCTGGCTGACCTGATAAGACAAGGGCAGTCTCTGGAGACTGCTCTTAAAAAGATTCAACTTGTCCATTTACAAAAAGCCCTTGCACATGTTAAGTTTCCCTGTGCAAGTATATGTCAGAGAATGTTTTCTTAGGCTTCAGAACTGTATTTCTTGGCCAGCGGCACAGTGGAGTCCGTACACTTTAAAATCTGGAGTCTGAAATAATCTTTACATGATCAATAGCTTGTTGGTTTAGTTCAGCCACATCTTCGATAGTGTCAGTTCTCATTACATGTGCGATTCTGCTCTTCTGCCCTCTCTTCTGCACTCCTGACCTGTCCCTGGTGCCCTGCATTCAGAGCTGGCAGTTTTAGCCAGTCTCTCCTTGACCAGAGGCTTAACCGTAACACAGGTGGTGAGCAGGGTTAGGGAGAACTGAACAGCGAAGGGGAGCACTTCCCTTGTGACCCTGCACCGGCTTCCAGAGAGAAAGAAAAAGCAGACTCAGGTTTAAGCAGAGACTGAAAACCAAAAGCCCCACATGTTCCTCCTGACCAGTGTCAGTTTCCAGCTGTTTTCAACCAGAATCATTTGTCATTTGATGGAGACAAACTGGATGCTACATCCAAGATTCCTCCCCTTATAAGACAGATATTTATTTGTAGGTGCTACCGTTTAAGGATTTGAAAGTATGAAGCTTTTGGGGGACTCTTTCATTATTGCATTCATCGATCAGGAAAATGGAGAGGCAGGTTCTCAGGCAGTTACCCAAAGGCTTACATGAGTTACTATTTTTTTTTTTTTTAGAATAATCAGAGTTATATGAGCTGAGGCTCTAAGCCATGTGGGAGTGGTGGTGGCTGTCTGTTGGTCTTGTTCATGTTCAAGCATACAGTTTGGGCCTGTGGTTAGTTGGGAGCTATTTAAACAACAGACTCACGTCATTGAGGAAAATATTTTAAGGGCCAAGCAGCAGTGGAGGGGGCGAGGAACCCAGTGATTTGTCCAGAAGAGGCAATATCTAGCAGACAGATGTGGACTCATGTTACTAGGGCCTGTAGATCATTGTTGTCACCCTCACAGGTAGGGTTGTTGAGGAGTGAGTGGTATGTGGAAAGCTGAATACATATCACAAGGGATTTTATGGGTTTGGGTGTTAGATTATTTACAAGTCAAACCTCAGGATGAAGTAGTCTATAGAGAATGAAGTTGATAATTAGAGAAAGACTCTGTACATTAAAATAGACAGACTTGGGCCTCCCTGGTGGCGCAGCGGTTGAGCGCTGGGTTGCGAAGCTGCCCGCAGCCTCTGCAGCGCTGGTTCGATTCCCGGCTGCTCCCGGCCACCAGAGGAGGGTCCCACATGGCGCGCAGACCTCTCCTGCCGCCCGCTGCTCCCCTCAGCAGTGTACTTTGGTCCTTCTGCCTGCTCTGCTCCCCGCTCTGGCTCTGGTGAATTCTCTCGCCCTCCCGCGCTTCTGACTGTACCCAGTGCATGTAGAAACAAAACAAACGAACAAACAAATAAATAAATAAATAAATAAAACATGCCTCTATTAATAAAAAAAAAAAAAAAAAAAATAAAATAGACAGACTCAGTCAAATAGCTCAAAATATAAGGGGAGACCAGGGTAGATAGCTCTTAACCATCCCAAATTGTCAACTTGTTTTCCTGATTGAATTATTTGCTGACAAAGCACTTTAATCCCAGTCATTTCCAGAGTTGAGGAGAAGGTGAGCTCCATGTAAATCGAGATGACAATTGAGGTTAACAATGGTGTTGCCCTCACAAGGTTGAGTTGGATGATTTTTGCCTGCTCCTATGCAGTGAAATCACCTGGGTGTGTCCTGCTGTACAACGTGGCAGTAACTCCTTGCCTTGAGTTGCAATGAGCCATAGGAAGGGAAACACTCAGCCAATCTGCTATTTCTGAACAGGAGTTTGTAATCGACACACCGTGTGAAGATGCTGAGAAGATGTACATCGGGAATGCAATGCATGGGAATTATGCAGCTGTCTTTGCCCAGCTCATCATTAATGGAAGATCTCAAGGTTTGTCGTGACAGACACCTAAAATCATTCTCTTTGCTATTTCTTTTTTCCAGTGAGTACTTTACCCGGAAAACCCACTTCACAAGGATGTTTTCAGCCTGTAAAAAAGTCAATGCTAACTTTTTTTTTTTTTTTTTTTTTTTTTAATAGAGGCATGCTTATTTATTTATTTGTTTGTTTGTTTGTTTTTGTTTATACATGCACTGGGTACAGTCAGAAGCATGGGAGGGTGAGAGAATTCACCAGAGCCAGAGCGGGGAGCAGAGCAGGCAGAAGGACCGAAGTACACTGCTGAGGGGAGCAGCGGGCGGCAGGAGAGGTCTGCGCGCCATGTGGGACCCTCCTCCGGTGGCCGGGGAGCAGTCGGGGGATCGAACCGGCGCCGCAGACGCTGCGGGCAGCTTCGCCAGCTTCGCAACCCAGCACTCAACCGCTGCGCCACCGGGGAGGCCCTAATGCTAACTTTTATCTCCTAAATATATATGACAATACAATTTATTGTTATATTTTCACATTTTCACTATTGTGTGTAGTGCACAGTCATAGAAAAAATAAATTACAGGATCAAAATGAATCTATACTGTTTTAGGCAATGCATAAAGCTTTAATTTCTTATTTAAAAAGAATTGTTTAGTAAATGTTTCTTTGTCTTCCTCAGGGCCCCACTGTTTCATTGTTCCTGTTCGGGATGAAAATGGAAACTTGTATCCAGGAGTGACAGCTATTGATATGATGTACAAAGAAGGTGAGTCCCCAGGTGACCCTTTTTTATCCTGGTTTGCACTTCCAGCCTGCTCCCTTCCCCACTCGAGGAGAAGCTAACCTAAATCACCAAAGCAGTGAAGGCATTGACAACAATTCCAGAGAAGATGCCCTGATTTTGAAGCCTGATTAGAGTCTTTTATATAGAACTGTTAGAGAATGTTCAGATTGCCATTTATGAATATGTGTTGGTCTCATTTCCTCCCAGCTTCTTGTATTTTCTAGCAATGAGGCAGCTTTGCCCTGAGTTGTTTGTTCTCCCCTCTCCTCTTGAACTGCAGGCTCTGTGGGGCAGATTGAGGCTGTCTTTCTTGTGCCAGTCTGGTGTTTGTGTCCATGAGGCCCTTGATGAATTCAAAGGGTGCTGGTTTGTTAGGGCTGTGATAGCACAGACTGGCTCAAACAACAAATTTGTTGTCTCAATTCTGGAGGTCTGCTATCAAGGTGGGTTCATTGTGAGGGCTGTGAGGAAGGATCTTTTCAGGCCTCACCCACTAGCTTGTAGGTGACTGCCTTCATGCACACACGGCGGTCTCCCTGTCTGCTTGTTGGTGCTCATATGTCTCCTTTTTATAAGGTTAACTGTCATTGGACTAGGGCACACACTAATGTCCTTATTTGTTTGATTACCCCTATAAAGATCCTATCTCCAATTAAGTTCACATTCACAGACACTAGGAAATATGAATTTTGTCATGACACAATTTAACCCATAAACTGGGTAGAAACAGGTCATACCTGTAGGTTCTACCTGTTGTCTCCAGTCAAAATAAAGCCAAGCCAAGCCAAAGAAACAGGTGGAGGGGGGAAGTAAATAAAAAAAAGAAGTGAAGGGGCAAGAAGGGGAAGGTGATCGTTGGATGGAGGGGTAGTGCCACCCTGGCTGCAGGTGGGTTTGTGAATGTTTTATTTATTTATTTATTAAATATGAGGATCCTCTTTTTTTTTTTTTTTTAAAGATTTATTTATTTTTATACAAGAACCAGGGTACAGGCCAGATGTGCAGGAGGGTGAGATGATTCACCCAAGACAAAGCGGGGAACAGAACAGGCAGACCGACCAAAATACACTCCTGAGGGGAGCAGCGGGCGAGACAGGAGAGGTCTGCCCTGCCTTGTGGGTAACTCCGTGGCCGGTGGGGATCGAACCAGCAGTGCAGAGGCTGTGGACAGCTTCATAGTGCTGTGCTCAACTGCCACCAGGTTGGCCCACCAGGTTGGCGCCACCAGGGAGGCCTGGTTTGTGAATGTTTTAAATGTATCTCCCAGGGGAAACCTGAGGCCTTCCCAGACCCCAGCCTCTTGAAAGCACCTTGCATGTTAAGTGTGGTTGAGCAGAGGGGTGGGCCCAGCTCTTGTGAAGTGGTGCCAGTCATTTAAAACACTGGCAACCTCAGAAAGTCTGCTTTGGTTTCCTTGTAAGCACTTAATGCAAGTGTGTCCTTGTCAAGGGGTGATGTTCTAAATGAAGACACATGCTAAATCAAGATCTCCCCCGCTCCAGATTAGATCTCTCCAAATGTGAGATGAACAAAAAAGTAGACCCCAAACTCTGATAGGTGTCATTAGGAACCAGGTCTGGCAGATTTCAGGAACCAAGAGTCAGCTCAGCTCCCCTGTCCTTGTGGCCATTTTCTCTTGTCTTTCAGGCATTTGCTTTGAAAAATTCACCCTTGTCCTGGGAATAAGTAGTGGGAAGGAGGAGGAGTTTGAGTTCTGCATTATTCAGGGAGTAATTTTCCTGCCTTCTGGTGTGTTCAGCTTGATGTCCTTACAGTTGCCTAAATTCTCCTGATCCCAGTTTGACCAGGTAGGTGTGCCTTTTCTGAAGGCCCCACTTGAGCCCTGAACATGCAGGCTGCACACAAGGCACAGCTCTTCAAGGAAACAAACAAGTAGCATCTCCTGCCCCCAAGCCCTATGTCAAATAGAAAAGCATCAGCCATCCTGGAAGTAAAGCAAAGACTTTGCATTCTAGTGGAGACAGGCCTGGGAAGTAGCAGCGATCGTTTTTTCTGATGTCAGCACAGATGTGTCCCCTGCAGCTCTATTTCATTTCTGTTCTCTCTAGGTCTGCACGGTGTGGATAATGGAATTTTAATATTTGACAAGGTTCGGATTCCAAGGGAGAATCTGCTGGATAAGTGAGTAATTTCCTCCTTAACTGAGATTTCCTATGTATATGATCTCATTGCTCTCCCCACCCAGGCCTGGTTCTTGGATCTCATGGGCTGTGTGTCCAGGTTGTCATCTCCTAACCACTACTATAAATGTATTGACAACTCATTGGAAAATGTAGATAAGAAAATAGAAAAAAATTAAAATGATTCAAATGCTATCACTCATATATGATGTTTGTTACACCTTAATGTATATAGCTTCAGACTTTTCTCTGTGATAAAATATCTAAAGAGATAGATATGTTTGATTTTTACTCAGTCATACACACTAATAAATTCTATTTTTCTGTTTACTATATCAAATGATTTTATTCAACAATGGAACATATACATTATCAATTTAATATTGCCATAGTAGTCCATAATTTATTTAATTAATCCTTTATTATTGGGAATTTAGGCTGTTTCCTTTAAAATTTTTTTGCTGGTATAAACCAATTACTGTAGTGTTATTGCCTCCTTTGTGTTGGCAGGAGATAAGGCACCACCATTTAGCTTTGGAGGCTGTTATAACCAGTACTCCTTGCCCAGAGAGGTTCAGTATCATTTCCCAGCATTCCTCTGTGGGGTCAGGGCAGGTTAAACAGTGAGATGAAGGTTGCTTCTTCTGGTGCATTCTGGGGATAGGAGTTCTTTGCAGAGGCTAAGAAACACCAATTAGCTTTAATTTTCTCAGCAGCATTTCATGTATCCAATAAAAATCCTGAGCCACAGTCATATTTTAATCTGTGAAAAAGCAAGCAATCAGGCTATATATAATCAGCTGTCTCCTTGCTTTCCTGCAGATTTTCTTTTAACACTTTACGCCTTTTAGTTGCCTGTAAGTTCTTGCCAACAGTGAAATGTGGATGCCAAAGTTTAAGAAAAATGTGTGGGAAACAAAGTTAAAATGGACCAAATTCTGTTTGCTAACTTGCCCCTCCTGTGAATTGGCAAGAAATAAAATGGGAACATCAAAGCATTTTTGTAGTTATTCCAGTAGGTGGTAAAGCCCTCAGGCCCCCTTAGGAGCTACCAGTGTCCAAGACAGCGGCTCTGAGTACCACCAACCTCCCCTAGAGATGCATGCAGATTTCCCGGTCACTTATCAGCCTCACTCCACTCTGGGAGATGTGGAAGAGGGGAGGAAAGACAAAGACGTGCAGTTCCCTTGCCCTTACCCACCCTAATGAGATCTTAGTAGCCTGGTCAATCCTCTCAGAAGCTGGACCCACTGGCTTAGCATCCCTCCAATACACCAGAGATTAGAAAGTCAGATTCAACCAGAAAGGAAAATGATAGTGGGCTACATGATATGTAGAAAATATGAGGACATATGGAGGGTTGCGAGTGTTTCTTGACAGGCAAGTTTTGATTTTAAAGGCATTCAATTGGCACTGAAGTTGCCTCCACCACCCCAAGTGCTAGAGAATAGCTGTGGCCACACAGATGTTTTGAGGGGGGAGTCTAACTTTTGGGAAGTTGGTAAATCACTTGATCAATAATGGACAGTAAACAGATGCACAGATTCAATGCAATCTCTCTAAATTTTGCAGAAGGTGAGACACTGATCCTAAAATTCATATGAAAATGAAAGAAACAGAATAACTGACACAATCTTGTTAAAGAAGAACAAAATTGATTTGAAAACTTACTACAAAGCTATCGTAGTCAAGACATTTGGTATTGGCATGGATAGAGGTGTGGATAATAGAATGGCTTGGAGAGTCTAGAAATAAATTCTTATATTAAGTGTGAGCATCAACAAGGATGACAAGACAACTTAATGGGGAAAGATTTGTCTTTTTTACAAATGGTGCTGGGACAACTGGACATAGAGATGCAAAAACAAGAAGTTGGATCTTTACCTCATATCACACATGAACATTAACTCAAAATGGATCCCACATCTAAATGTAAGAAGAAAACACAGGTGTAAATCTTTGTGACTTTGGTGTGAGCAGTGATATTAGATGTGATAGCAAAAGTACAAACACCAAAGAAAAAGGATAGATAAATCAGACTTCATTAAAATGTAAAAAAAATTATGCCTCACTATTGAAGAAAGTGAAAAGATGATTCACATGATGGGAGGAGTATTTGCACCTGCTGGGATGGTTAGAATAAAAGAGATTGAAGATAACACAAAATATGGTATATCTATAATGAAATATCACCAGGCCATAAGTGTTGATGAGCGTGTGGAGATATTGGAATCCTCATCTGTCACTAATGGTGATGTAAAACCTTGTTGCTGATTTAAAAAGAATTTGTCATCGCTTCTCGGCCTTTTGGCTAAGATCAAAGCGTAAAAAAGAATTTGTCAGTTCTTCAAAAGCTTAGAGTTTTTATATGATCTAGACGTTCTGCTTCTGGGTATTATGAAAACACTGTCCAGGAGACACTTGAAAACCTAAGTTCACACAGGGCCTCCCTGATGGTGCAGGGGTTTAAGTCTCAGTGTTATCTATCAAGCTATCGCCAGCCACTGCGGCATGAGTTTGATTCCTGGCCAGGTTGCTAACCCACATGGCACAGCAGACCTCTCCTGACTCCCCCGCTGCTCCCCTCAGCAGTGTAGTTCAGTCAATCTGCCTGTTCTGCTCCACACTCTGTCTCCGGTGAATCCTCTCAACAATCCCTGCCCCCGCACCTCTGGCCTACACCCCAGTTTTTGTATGCATAAATAAATAAACAAACATATATCTTTGAAAAAATAAATTCACACAAAAACTTGTATACAAATGTTCACAGCACAATTATTCATAGTAGCCAAAAAACAAAAAAAAGTGGAAACAACTCACATTTTAGGTGTTGAGTGTATTAACAAAATATGGTACATCTATAATGGAATATCACTGGGCCATAAAAAGGAGTGAAATACCGACGTATGGTACAACATCCATGAACCTTGAAAACAATATGTGGGGCCTCCCCTGGTGGTGCAGCGGTTGAGCACTGGGTTGCGAGGCTGCCCGCAGCCTCTGCAGCACCAGTTCTATCCCTGGCCACCGGCGAGGGTCCCACAAAAAGAAAAAAAAAAAGAAAAAAAAAAGAAAACAATGTGTGTGCTCAGTTAAAGAAAGCAGACACAATTTCAGGTATTGTCTGATTTCAGCTGTGTGAATTGTCCAGAACAGACAAATTCATAGAGGTAGGAAGTGTTGAATGCTTTCCAGACCTGGTGGCTGGGGTGTTTGGGAATGATTTTTTTTTTAAAGATTTATTTTATTTATACAAGATCCGGGGTACAGTCCAGATACATGGGAGGGTGAAAGGATTCACCAGAGACAGAGCGGGGAACAGAACAGGCAGACTGATGAAATACACTACTGAGGGGAGCAGCGGGTGCGACAGGAGAGGTCTGCTCACCTTGTGGTTTGCTCTGTGGCTGGCGGGGATCGAGCTGGCACTGCAGAGGCTGCGGATAGCTTCATAGCGCTGCGCTCAACCACCTGCACCACCAGGGAGGCCCTGGGGAATAATTTTCTTTTTTGGGGGTGAGTAGGGACAGTTTTAGAATTGGATTGTGGTAATGGTTGTACACCTTGCATATATACTTAAAACTATCGAACTGTTCACTTTAAATTAAAGGGGAGAGGGCCTCCCCGGTGGCTCAGCGGTTGAGCGCTGGGTTGTGAAGCTGCCCGCAGCCTCTGCAGCACCGGTTCGATCCCCGGCTGCTCCCCGGCCACCGGAGGCGGGTCCCACATGGCGCGCAGACCTCTCCTGCCGCCCGCTGCTCCCCTCAGCAGTGTACTTCGGTCCTTCTGCCTGCTCTGCTCCCAGCTCTGGCTCTGGTGAATTCTCTCACCCTCCTGCGCTTCTGACTGTACCAGTGCTTGTATAAATAAATAAATAAAATCTTTAAAAAAAAATAAAGGGGAGGACTGTATGCTATGTGAATTATTTCTCAAGCAAAAAAGTGCATTGATGTCTGGTCTGCACACCTGGGCTCCTGGTTGGTTTAATGGTGGTGGTCCTTGTGTCTCTGTCAGGGGCCACCCTAGAGTCTCAGGTTGGTCATGGTGGGAAATCTGTTCTTCCTTTTCCTGAATTGAGCCCTTCTGAGCATCTTCCCCTGCACCCCAATTCTGCTGTCTCATGAGGGAGGTACCAGGGTGCACAAACCTGTGTAACTTTTAAGTGTGCACATGGGAGTCTCCTGACTTGGTTTTAATGGTGCTGTGTTCTTTTTTGTTAACACTGCTTCTCTTTCCCCCTGTCTTTCCCCACTGCAGGTTCGGTTCCGTGGCTCCAGACGGGCAGTACCATTCCCTGATTAAGAACAAGAGTGCAAGATTCAATGCGATGCTGGCGTCACTGACCCCTACGAGATTAGCTGTGACTTTCCAAGCTCTGGGTGCCATGAAGGTATGTGACTATGTCTGTTTTTAATTTATCTCACTGTTTATTCTCTGTGTGTTCCATGGGCTGGGTAACAATTTCAGGAGCTGCGCTTCTCGAGTCATGATTGGTGTAGTGGGGCCAGGATTATTGGTTAGATGCTAGGGAGTGTCGGTTGGCCATTCACAGAGAACATTTCTGCCGCCTTCATACCACGGGATCCCGTTCATCTGCATCCCAGATGTGTGCTGCTGATTATGGTGGGTGGAACATAGGCAGTGTGGCAGTGAACCACAAAAAGATGACCCCGGGAGAATAGGTCGTTCAGAACAAACACATCTGCTGGAAGAGCAACTAAGAGCTGACTCATGTGGGTGAAGGCCTCATGGCTTGGCTGAGTTATTGGGGAGCATTGATGCTCACATGGCTGTTTGGGCTGTGACATTTAGCATCACAGTTTGGAGTCCAACTGTGGGTTGGGTCAGACTTCCAGAAGCCTTCTCTGCCTCCCCTTCCCCTAATCCTCCCATAGATTGGTTTGGAAAGAGCAGCCAGGGGAGACAAATTCTGGAAGGCCCTCCTTCTCAGGGCTCAGCTCTCTCATTCTCTGGAACTTCTCTGTCTCTTTGGATGAGGGCAAAGCCTATTTTAAACTCCATTGAGCTTGGTGAAGCTGGAAAAAAAATTAAGATACCTGTGGATATACACTTGTGACTTGAATCCTGTTTTCCCATCAAGAAGGAATAAATTTCATTCACCTGACTTCAGGCCAGACACCAGTTCGTTGTTTGAATATTAGGGGACTCTTTATTTACTCACTTTCCTGGGGTCTGTCTTGCTTTGCAGAAAGGCTGCCGGACACAAGCAGTGACCCCTGGAGCATGCAGCTGTGGCACTGTAGTAGCCCACACTCAATGCTGAGCCACTGGCCTTATGCCCACCCATGGGTGCTGCTTCTGCACTTGTTTTTTGGTGGCTCTTTGAAGGAGACGAGGTGGGTTGTCAATTCTGAATCCCACATCAGGAGTGGCTCAGCTGCTTCCCTTCTGTGAGTTGTTGGATGAATGAGGCCCCAGGGGAGTCTCGTGATGAAGGTACAGGGGTGCGGCCCAGATGCTAGCACAGTGTCAGTGCTGCGGAGAGTGACTTCTTCAAGTCTACACTAGAAACCATTTCAGATGATTCAGGACTCCAGGAAGAGGCAAAATGAGAGGAGCCAGATGAACTGACAATTTCATGGCAGAGAAGATGGGGTGAACATATGAGTGGGGTTATCTGAAGTGGTGGGTACAGTATCTGCACAGTGGCCCCACGGATGGCAGCGGGGCAGATATAAAACTGCTGGCCAGTGGCTTCGCAGGTGGAGCAGAGACCCTGTGCTGTTATGTACTGGGATAGGTGATGGTGTACAGGGAGGTCCATCTGTTACCTGTTCTCCAGCAGCCCCCTTAGCTCACTGAGGCTGGTGGTGTGCTCTGAGGTGCCGGCCTAGGGCAGTGCAGATGGGGCAGTGTGAGAGGGGGCTTCCAGCAGAGATTTTAAAATCACCAGATCAATATTGGCCATTCTCACAGGTCTGAGGTGGTATTTATGTGGTCACTAATATGTAGAATATAAAGTAACTAAATTAATAGTCGGATAAAGACAAGCTGAGAAACTAACCCTTGATAGCTGACCACAGCACTGAAGCACCAAGGCGGGGCGTGGGGGGGAGCGGTGAGTAAGAACAGAGAGGGAAGGAAGCACAATGGTTTGTGGTGGAATATTGGAGAGCTGGTGGTGGATACACTGTGGTGGTCACACCTGATGGGGATACCCCAAAATTACCTCAGTTAAAAATAAATGAATTAATTTAAAAAATACAGTTAAACATTAAAAAAAACAAACCATCAGATTAGAAGCAGTGCGAGAGGAAACAAAATGGGTGATTTTTAAAAGGTACCCATTCTTCATTTCATTGAACATTATGGAGGGGCCAGCATCCTGCTGACTCTGGAGAGTCTTGGGGGACCACAATTGGATCAGTTCCTTGTCAGGTATCTGGTGCACATAATTTTGTTGCTGACAGTGTGGATTGTGGCCTCCGAAGTTAGAAAACCCTGGGCTGGAATCTCAGTCTGGACATGACCAGCAGTGGGGCCATTGCCAAATCAGTAGCCCCTCTACCCAGTTTCTTTATGGGTGGATGGGCCTTATGATTTGGGTGAGACATGAGTGAGGGTGTGGGTGCAGCCTGCACAGATCAGGTGCTCAGTATCTCAAAGCTGTTACTGATGTGGTGGCTACTGGTGCTGTTGCTGGGAGTGTGGGGGCTGGCTGTAGGAAAGCAGTAAGTGGGCTTTTCCATGCAACAAGCGCCTGGGCTTTGGTCTCCAGGTAACAGGGAATCTGAAACTTTTGGTGGAGGTGTTTTGTGTTCTGAATTGGCGCCCGCCCTGGCAGGAGTCAGACTGCCAGGTAACAGGGAGACTCGGCTTGCCCTGGGCAACACCGATGTGGCTGACCCTGGTGGACAGCGACCCGGGCCAGTGTGATCTCATCGAGAGCTTGTCGCTCAGGCGAGGATGATCTCAGCAGCTCCCCTTGGCAGCTCCTCCTCTCTTACAGCTCAAACACATGACAGATGTTTTCTCGGCTGAAACATAAGACGGCCCTGCTTGTTCTGCTCTTGCTGATGAGTGGAAAAACGGATCCCTTTCTCCTCCGTGCATTCCTTATGTATTAGGAAACTGTCACCACGGCTCCCCACAGTGACATTCGCTCAAGGCTGAGCATGCCCGGTCCTTTTAAACTTTGCCCAGATGTCTTATTTTTCATGGTTATCTCTCATTTTCATAATGTTTCTCAGTACTTTCAGATTTTCTCTTAAAGCCTTGCCATATTAGCCGTCCTCTAACTTGTGTCCAGAATGCCATGCCAAATTAAATGATTAGCAGGAACAAAAGGAAAAGGAAACGGAGATGTTTGGCGGGGCTGGGAGTTGGGGGTCTGAGTGGGGGCAGCCTAAATGGGGAGGCTGGGAAGCCTTTTCAGAAGGAGGAAGGAAGGTGGGGAGAGTCACTGTGAGTTTGGAGGGTGAAAGTAGAGGGACTGTGAAATGTAAGTGGTCTAGCCCATTGTTTCAGGTTAATTTTGTATGGAAGTAAGTATTTTTGCAAAAGATAAGCAGGTCCCCACTATCCAAGAGTCTCCCTAACCTTTTAAAGCAGCTGCTAAATAGGTTTGTCTCACCTCCAGGGGTTCAGCAGCTGGGGGATTGCGGGTGGGTGGGAGAATCTGCATTTCTAATAAGTTTCGGGGTGGTGCCCACATTACTGGTGGAGGGCTACACTAGGAGAAGCCCTGCTCAGAACAGGTGGGTGCAGTGCTGAGTGCCCAGCACAATCCCAGTCCCCTTGTCGCCCTCCATGGCCTCCCAGTGCTCCCAGGATCAAATGTTCCTTTCTGTGTCTGGCACCCCACCCCCCCTTTCATTTTGTCCTGCTCACCTCATTTCCATGCTCTCCTGGCCATGGCCTTGCTTTTCCTTCTGGCGTGGGCTTTTCTTTTCCTGCTGTGCCGCCTAGCCAGCCTTGCCCACCTTTTGCATGGGTCCTTTTCGTGTACACTTCAGAGCTCAGGCAAGTGTCCCTTCTTGAGAAAGACCACGCCATGTCTGGGGTCCCCATCATCTGTTCCCAAGGCACTGCATACCCCCATCCCCTTCCAGGGTTTATTACGTTGATAATTAACTAATGGTATGAGATGCAGCTTCTGTCTTCCCTGCTAGCCATGCAGGCAGGGCCTCTGCTGACCTTTCTGCTGCTGTGTGTTCAAGGTCTGAGGAATGAATTAGAATTCGCATGGAAAGCCCCGCCATGGTTGTTACTAGGGATAAGTGCTCGATGTGTGTTTGTTCTGCTCACACGCCCACCCTCAGCTCATTTCCTGTTGACTGGGAGATGTCTGTGAGTTGCTCCCTCGTCCTGAGTCTGCAAGGCCCCTTCCCCCCGCTCCCCCCTCTTCAGGTCGGCCTTATGTGCGAGTGCTGGCTCGAGCCACTGCAAGGAAGCTCTGTGGTCGAGCGCTGCAGTTGGGAAGGAGGCCCCATGGTCAGGAAGTTGTGGGGTGGGTGTGCATTACTGGGGGCACCAGTGACGTTCAAGGGCCTTCCTGCGGGGTCTGGAGGTTGAGGATAAGTCAGGACTCCTGAACTGTCTCTACAGGAGTGTGGGAGGGAGAAACCCACTGCCAGAACGGGACCCGGGTGTTGGGCCATTCCAGGCCCCCCAGAAGGCTGTGAAAGCCCCGCTCCTGTGGAGACAGCTATTACTGCACTCATTTCTTTGAGTGAAGAGAATGGGCGACCTTGTTTGTCTCACCCGCTTTTGGTGAATCTGCTGTGTGCCTGATTAGGTCACTGAGGGGAGGAATACTGCAGAGCACATCCTGGGGGGAGGGACAGTCATGTGACTCTCCCTGATGGCAGGGTGGGGCCACTGCTCCCAACTCTGGGTAAGGAGAAAACCTGGTGGTGTCCCACCAAGCCCCTTAGAGATAGATTCAGAGTCTATGCTAAATCTATGGGTGTGACATGAGGTGCAGTAGGCCTGGGTCCTAATTTCAATTTATCTGAACTTTATTTTTCTTCCCCCAAAAAGAGGCAAAAAAGTTGCCACCTTCTGGGAGCATTGTAAAAATTCAACGAATTACTGAGTTTCTTTACCTCCCCTCCCCCACTGCCACTACTGCTATTATTACTATCACAAACCATGTATTAGCTCATTTCTCCTTGTAACAACTCTGAGAGGACTCCCTTGGTACACCCGTGTGCATCTGTTGATTCTGATGGACCTTTATAAGGACATAAATGGCCCCATTTGTGGAAGGTTGGTCACAGCATACTGTATACTTAAGATTGCTGTGTGGATGTTAAGATATAATAGAATTAACTGGAAATAGGGGCAGCTCAGTATGGTCAGTGAATACTTAGAAGCTGGAGGTGCTTGGGCACATGCTTGGGCTGCTGAATTAGCTGAGTTACAACT